AATTGTTCCTGAGAGACTGCTGCGAGAGAGGAGCTACTTCTCTGAATCAGTGATGGTTTCCTTGGCAGTGTCTTCGCGTGGAAAAACTAAGATTTTCTTCATTCCCCGAGGTGTGAAGATAAACTCTCAGAACTACCGTGAAGAACTTCTTTCAGAAATGCTGCCCGAAATTAAAGATGTGATGCACGATTACACCTTCATGCAAGACGGTGCTCCTGCCCATACCGCTCTGGCAACAATTCAGTGGCTTCTGTGAAAACTGTCCTGATTTCATCGAACCTGAAAATTGGCCGCCCAATAGCCCTGACTTGAACCCAGTCGATTATTTTGTGTGGTCCGCGTTGGAAGAGAAAGTGTATCGCGGGCAAAAAATCCGGTGTGTCGCTGAACTGAAGGAACGGATCCTGGTAGCATGGGAAGAACTTTCACAGGGCTCAATTGCCACTGCCATCCTCAAGTGGAAAGGGAGATTGAAGGCAGTTATTCGGCAGAAAGGTGGCCATATTGAGCCATACGTCAAACGATGAGCTTGTGCTAAACTTGCGTTGGTTTTGTATTTCTTGTGTTTGAACGCGAAAAGGCTCTGTGATTGGTAAAAAAGCGTGATTTTCACCTTTTTTCAGCGGAAAGTTTTTTCAAATCAATTTATCTCCCGTGTTTTTCGGCGGAACTCAATTGCAACTGATATCATTGGAAAGCGAATTATATGAACTTTCATTTAATTTTTGTTAAATTCTTCTAGCTCAATTTGCGACCGAGATATAAGGTTTCAAAGTGGATGACCGGTTTTTTTTACCCACCCTGTATATATAGATGATGGGCTGCTGGAGCGAAAAAATTACTCGAAGGATTTTGACCCTTCGACTGCACCTAGGTTATCGGATACTAAATGTCAGATCTCCGGTTCAAAATTAACATAAATACTTGTGGGATCATGACCCCAAAAAGTAGGAAAACGAAACGCCCTTTTCTTTTGCTTTTTTTTTCATTCCTAGCCCGTTTCTCGCCACAAGCAAAATATTACTTTCTCCTGCTGGACTTGAATTTAACGTATATATCAAATGCTCCGGTCTTTCACCATTGAAAGATCGCTTTGGTCTTTTCCATGCCATTTTCCATTCCGGTATTAGCGTGCAAGTATATCTTGCGCTGAGAATTACTCTAACGTTTTGGACTTTAACCAGGTTTGGGAGAGCCAATGTCGTGCGATGATTTTTGCAAGCAGGATCTTACAGGAACCGAGGGAATCCTGGAACCATGCGTGAACGACGAAGGACTGGTTCCAAAATACCAGGTGGGTTTCGAAAAAAAAAAACTCGCATGAATGTAAAGTTTTACAATCAATATTTCATGACAGAAGACTCTGAAAGTAGGAACACATGCACGGTAGAGCTAAGAAACAGAACGCGATTGCATTCTTGTAGACAAGAAACATCTGAGGTGATATTGCTCAGCCAAGGGAGGCCCCGAGCGAGGCAGGCGCATGCGCAGAAGCGGTGTGATGTGATGTGTGATGTCATGGGGCGCTCTCAGACGATAGGCAGGCAGTGTGTGACCGTGCTGCTGACGATTTTTACTCGTGGGGGGACCTTTAGGGTAAGGTGTACCGGAAGAATCCAAGAACGATTGACCAGTTAAAGGGCTAAGTCACTACAGCAAGTACCGCCATTTCTGAGAAAGAACCTCAGTGCATTGCGTTGAATGTGCTGCGCAGGGACTCAGACACGTATTGCGGCAGAATGATATCTCTTCCAGCATATCCTGGAATGTTGCAACCCTAACAGAATGGCATGCATAGGTACTGTAGTTACTCTTGTCATAAACATTAATAAAACGCAATTCAGGCATATTCACATACATACATATATTCGCGGGGCCTCTTTTAGATGTGCCACCCTGCATCAATAAATTGACAGGGGTTAAACATCCTACAGTATTATGATGCTAGGGCGCCGATTTCGGAGGTGTAAAGGAAGTTCTGCACAAATTTTGGGTTGCAAAAAAGGTTTGCGGCGAGCTTGAGTGTGTGCGGAAGAGTGTGTGTTTGTAAACAGATGCGTGTGATTGTAAACTTTTAAACCTTGAAATGGATTGAATATCGCTCCGACAACCACAGAATCCCCTTCATTTAGTCAAATTTGCAGCAGATGGTTTTTAACTTTTAGCAATGCCTGTGGAACATCCTCAGAAAAGATGGGATTGAAGCGATCGAGATCGTACTGACACCTGAAGATTTCGGGGATTTCGAAGAGAGAAGCCTGTTGTTGAAGATAGGTTATGGATACAAAGACGACTTCCCAATAGGAAATGAGGAAACGGAACTGGCCTCATTTGACGGCCCCGTGACAGAGAATACAACTGTGGAAGTGACTCTCGAGGACGCCTGGGTTTTCATGCTGACCCGCTCTCCGATAAACCCCTTCAGGATCTTCTATATCATGAAGAAAGAAGGTTCGTTTCCCTGCGTCTTTCACGCATTGTTGCGAGAATCATATGGGTACGAATGAGCCTAGTTCTATCCAAATTAAGAAAGAACGAATCTGCTGTAACGCATTTCTTTTCAACTTTCCAACTCTCCTACTTTCTAACAATCTCTCCCGAGAAACTCCAAAAATCGTTCACTGAGACTCTCGCGCTTTTTGCAACAGAAAGAAAAATATTCTGGAAGCACCTGATGTACTTTAGGAACTTAAGAAGTTCTTCGCATTTCGCAAAATATTGCGGTATGAAATGGTAAAGTGACTTATGGAGCACCCAGTGTAGTTGCAATCAAATTTATGACATCGCATTCGTGCTGAAGGCAAATCTATTAAATGTTCTCAGGATCTGCCGTAAACATAATGCACTTTAATATAAAATATCATACACTTTTGGATGGGTATGAAACGAATTTGCCACGATAAATAATTCATCCTGATATGCCCTATCGTCACATTTATGACATTCCAATTTTGAAAACCAAAGTTTGACGATAAGACGTATTTTCTTTCGCCGATGTGGATAGGATAAATATATCCCTTTAATGGGATCAAATTGCTGCTCTTGTTTGGTTGTAGCTGGAATTCGGAATGAGGCAAACGTTGCTAACATAAATATTTCAAATTTCCAAGAAAAATAACTACTGAAAGCAAAAATGAATTGAAACCGTTAGGAGGGCGAGTTCCAAAGTTAAGTTTCCCTTTGTCCCACTCCTGTCTTGTACGGTATTAATTAAATTATTAATTGTATTAATTTAATGTAATTAATTAATACAATTATAATTTTTTAAATTAAATTAATTAAAAGACTTTAGGCAGCAAAGTTCAATGCTTTCGGGAAAATGGCTGACTTCGTCTGAACGTTTTCTTGGAATTTTAAAAACAATTTTTGAAGCAAGTTTTTTTTCCTCCTGGTGAATGACTACGCAGTCATTCACCAGGAGGAAAAAATTCCAATAGCCACTTTAGGACTCCAAGTTGTCACAAGCGCCGCCAAATCCAGGAAATTCTTCCAAAATCGACGTTACCGTTCCCCGATCAATAAACTTTCCCAACCAGAGACGCTTCCGCGTTGAATTGGTCTTCGTCGAGGTGCATGGCCCAAGGGGACCAGTTGGTCAGGACAACTGTTGAATTTATTCAGACTCATCTAAATTTGGCATGCTTTGCAACAGCGTTGTACGTCCAGCAGACGAAAAACCACTATTCCACATTGCTTTTCGCTGTTGTGCCATTTGTGAGACGTTCTAGCATGAAGGAGATGGGACTTTTGGCACTTTTTACAGCAACACCTACCACTTCCGGTATTTCGACCAGCACATCAGGCACCGCAAGTACCTCTGGTAAATTTTAGTTTTTGAGACTATTTATGTGCTAATTTTCTGCATCATAAACGGAGTACCAATTAATTTCGTTTAAAGTGTTTGCTGTGATTCCATCTGTAGTGCTTCAGAAACTAATCCGGGGTTATCTTCTACCATTCTGAATGCGGAAATAGCTAGTTATGTCTGCAGCGATTGGTCTTGGTAACTGCTTCATAAATTATGAACATATCGTGGAAACCTCATATAACATCGTGGTTTATCTTCTTAGTTACCATCAGCAATAGCATTTACGAAAACATACAGGAAAGGGAAAGAACCTCAACATCGGAAAAAAAATTTAGATGGCCCTAATCTTCTCTAGCTTCTCGTGAGAAATGTCTAAATTAAGACTCATTCACTTCAGACCTGTTGCCACGGAAACGTTTTATAGCATAGTCTCGTACATTGAGATCCACAAAATCGACCTTTTTCGGTGGCGTTGCGGCACATCGTGTTGGGTTTGAAGCTGAGGACCTTGGTGGAGATTTGAGCGTCAAGGACCACTTTTGCCGCCGTGTGTCTCAGGATGATATAATTAATCGATTTTGATCGAAGCTCTTGAGATGTCAAAGGATTTCGGACCGATTTCGGCTTCGGATTTGGAAACCTAAAAATGCCGTACGTAAAAGTACGGCATTCATTTGAATTCACTTTTTCCTCATTCGTCAGAATCGGTTCAGTGGGTTCTCCTTCCGTGCGTCTTACATTTCTTCCAAGACAGAAACAATGAGCATAGATTATTGATTTGTCTTGAACCACAGCGGATAGTATTACCCGGAAGGAGATCTTTACGAAAATGAAACTGCCAATTATTGTTTTACTACACACCTAACTTTTTTTCCTGAATGGGATGCAAATGCCCTAGTCATCTAGAACAGAGGAATGCTTAGTTTACCAGCTAATGGAAAATTAGATCTTGTCCTGCAGCTAATCGCATTCATGATGCAAAACGAATACTTTCCTCTAAAAGATTGTATCTGTCTCGTCGAGTGCCATTTGTAGTTCTTTCATTGAATTTCAGACAACTCCTTCTGATGCGCTTTACTGTTTTTTTTTCTTCAACTACCAATTCAAATAATTTTTTGTTAATGGTCAAGGTTCAAAATAACTTATTGATTAATAAAAATATTCCCCATGCCTGCCGATGTGTAGCAGGAATATGTTTGCAATCATGAAGCCTACCCGAGTAGAGCTTTCAACCACTAAAATTTTTGAATGAGAAAACTTCTTCGCAAGAAATTCTTCGTTCTCCCGAAAAAAATTTAAGGCTGCCTCGAAAATAGCAACAAACCTGAAAGACAGTTGAAACCAAGGGGCACGCCCTCAGAGATATTGAAAGTCACTTCGCCGTTTTCCACCCTTTCCACCAACCAAAGCCTCCACCACGACGACGACGACGACCAACCCGTGCGAGGGAGCCATCGGAGATCCCTGCCAGGAGGACGAGGACTGCCGCGAGAACGGACACCTTGTCTGCGATCCTTCCCTTCTCAAGTGCGACTGTGCCGATGCTATACATAAGCTATGCCTGTAAGAGCACACGCCATGCGTACGGACGTAAGGTTTTAAAGCCTAGTTTTCTTAGAAGCATCTCGATATTTTCAAGGATCGCATAACCTCCTTAATCCTTAAGTAGGGTTATAAATAAGTGACGTTTATATGTAAATGCCATTTTGTGATGTGAATCCATAGTGACTGGAGGCAAAAGGTTGGGCGAAGCGTGTTCGAACGATAACGACTGCAGCCGGAATCAATGCGACGAAGAAACCAAAATTTGCTCGCTTGCAAAAGACTATCCGCTGGATCGGAAGACCTTTTGCGGTAAGTACGAACGATCTAAATTACCCATTAAGTTGGGTTTGCTTAGACGAAGTGGATTTCTTAGAGGAGGAAATGCCTCGCGGAAGGGGGAACGACTGCGAGAAAGACGAGGACTGCAACGGAGATGCCAACCTGAAGTGCGACGATAAAATCCAAAAATGCAATTGCAAGAACGATTTCTTCCTCCATCCTCAACTGCTCTCATGTGTTCCACGATGAGCCTTTCGAGTTTGTTCTGGTTGTATGATGGTGCAGGAGGATGAGGAATAATTGTCCTTATGGCGATTCGTTTTTAATGAGATTGTTCTTTTGATCACGTAAATGGTGAAATATATGCAATGGTATACCGAAAGTAATTTTTCAGATAACTTTAATATCTTTGGAAACGTGTACGTCAGTTCAATATGGAATACCTGGAACATTTCAATAATTTGTTCATGCAAATGAAGCCCAGTTGTCTGCATAATGATAATCGCGTTGTTTTTGGTCTCTGCCAAATTCGCCTAGCTTCGTTCTTTTCCTCTTCATATTTTATTATTAATGTGCTGGAATTCCCAATTACTCCGAGAAGTCCTGCTCTGTTTTCAGGTCATCAACTTTCCGAAAATAATTTTTTATTAATCAGCTTATATTAATACGAAGCGAGCAGTGCGAGACTCAAAGTTTAAGCTCAAGTGGAGTTCTATCGGTTCCACTGCATTATGACCAAGGTCTGTTTGTGCAGGTTTCCAAGGTCAAATATGGTAATGAGGTCAAATGCGTGCTGCTTGACAGCGTCAAAAATGAAATGCGTGGCTGGGAGAGACCCGCGATCCACCGCTCTGTGACTCGCTGATGGAGCCTTGCAAGCAGAATTTCACCGGGCCAGGTGGAATTGGAAGTGGATGGACGATCGATCCCATCACAGTCTTCTAAATCATCAAAAGCGAAAGGCTGCTTCCCCCTCTCTGTTTTTTTTTCCTAGGATGAGGATTAATTGTAAGAATAAAAAAGCGAGGATGCCGTGGTCCTACTTTAGGCAGCTTAACACTCTCTCGAAAAACATTCCTCCTCAAATGTCTTAATTTTATGTCGTGAGCCATAAAATTCACAAATTTACAAATACCTCCCCGATAGACTCATTCGCGGGATACGTTTGCACAGAAGCACCTAGTCCACAAATATTTCACAATACGGTCACCCTTCCTAGTGCATTTATCCAGATCAGGAAATAAGCATTCTCCGAAAGAGATAAAGACACGTTGGAGCCGACTCTTGGGCGCCTGGACGGCCTCGCGACCCGCCCGACCCCGAGTCACCGCGGGCCGCCCGCTCTGCAGGCTGCGCATATTCCCCCACGAATTTCGCCGCATCTCGTGAGACAGCACGCAAAGCCTTCCGATGAAACGATTGCCGTTGCAGATCTCATCCCACCATGGACTTAGAAAAAAAAAATCGGACAGTGAGAAAATGACTGAAGGGAAGAAGAAAAGGAAACCGGCGATTTGGATTTTCTTTCCCTCTTCACCGATTCCTTTGTCGAGCGAATTTTGAACCTTCCGGCCATTTCCTGTGAGAGAGTTTCGTCTTGCGAACGAAAAGTAACCATATTTTTTAAACAAGAGCTTCCAGGAATTCCAGTATCTTTCCTTGCAGCGTCCGAAGAGGAAGATGAAGTACCAGGTGAAAAGTACCGGAAACGTCAGGCGAGTCATTAATGAATGCCACCTGAATCGTGGCTGCTTCAGCGCCATCTTGTTTCACTTAGAGGGGGAACCCCCTTCGTTCGAACGAAACAGATTGCTTGCCCACAGATGAGACACACCCAACCAGCGTCGATGCCGGGCCGACATCGGCAGGCAACAGCGAAGTGGGCCCAAGCCTCCCCACTTGCAACCATCATCGGGCCAACATGGGAAATTAAATGGAGGCGATTTCACTCTGATCAGAATCGCTCCACTTGGCTGAGTGATTTTTCCTAAATGGTAATCTTGTTGTCTCCTGAAGGTAAAATTTTCCTTCTGTTTTCGTTTCATTTTACCGTCAGAAAAAAAAGTTCGACGTAGAGGACTGTCAATTGGCACGCACGTGTGCCAATTTACTGCCCTCTGCGTCGACAAAATCCTGTGCAAATATTTTCCCAGCTGAAAATAACCACCGGCCACGAGAAGAACGCAACGCCAAACAGACGACACGACGGAAAATCTTTATTCCCGGATCTCCACCGCCTTCTTGCACACGTACGGAAACTCGAACCTCGGCGTGTAATCATCCCACGCGGACGTGAACGCGTACGCGCAGTTGTGACTCGAATCCTCGTCCGGGAAACCGGGGAACCACCGCTCGTAATCGGTCGAGGACCCGTCCACCCACGACCACTCCCCGGTCCCCGTATTCCTCAAGTACCCGATCCAGTACTGCGACGTCGGCGCCGGATGCCCATTCACCACCAACGCCATCACCCTCTTGTAATCCGTCCCGTTCTCGATCCCGAGCAGATTCCCCCCCGCATCCAAACACGCCTCCAACGCCAACTCGTAAGATTTCTTATTCTCGCTCACGATGAAGCAATCCCCTTCGAAGGCGACCCAGTCCGCCGGGCAATCCCCGTTCGGTNGAATGCTGACTCGTGGTGTGTCCCTCCTTCACGACAACGCCAGACCCCATACCGCTCGTGTGACTCAGGACCTGCTTGTGTCCTTTGGATGGGATATTGTTACCCACCCACCCTATTCCCCGGACCTAGCGCCCTCAGATTTTCACCTTTTCACCAAACTGAAAGAATTCTTGGGTGGGAAACGTTTTTCCAACGATGAGGAGGTGAAGGAGACAGTGGAGAAGTGGCTTTCGGAGGTGGAGCGGAGCGTATTCGACGAGGGTATAAAAAAGCTGGTGCCCAGGCTGAAGAAGTGCATCGAAGTTGACGGCGATTATGTTGAGAAATAAACACATATTTTGGAACATACCCTGTAAATTTGGTTGAAATATATTCATTTTTCGATTTTTAACAGCTGTTGTAACCTTTTTTTCTGGATATCCCTCGTATCTTTGGAAACGTGTATGTCAGTTCAATATGGAATACCTGGAACATTTCAATAATTTGTTCATGCAAATGAAGCCCAGTTGTCTGCATAATGATAATCGCGTTGTTTTTGGTCTCAGCCAAATTCGCCTAGCTTCGTTCTTTTCCTCTTCATATTTTATTATTAATGTGCTGGAATTCCCAATTACTCCGAGAAGTCCTGCTCTGTTTTCAGGTCATCAACTTTCCGAAAATAATTTTTTATTAATCAGCTCATATTAATACGAAGCGAGCAGTGCGAGACTCAAAGTTTAAGCTCAAGTGGAGTTCTATCGGTTCCACTGCATTATGACCAAGGTCTGTTTGTGCAGGTTTCCAAGGTCAAATATGGTAATGAGGTCAAATGCGTGCTGCTTGACAGCGTCAAAAATGAAATGCGTGGCTGGGAGAGAGCCGCGATCCACCGCTCTGTGACTCGCTGGTGGAGCCTTGCAAGCAGAATTTCACCGGGCCAGGTGATAACGATCGATCCCATCACAGTCTTCTAAATCATCAAAAGCGAAAGGCTGCTTCCCCCTCTCTCAGTTTTTTTTTCCTAGGATGAGGATTAATTGTAAGAATAAAAAAGCGAGGATGCCGTGGTCCTACCTTAGGCAACTTAACACTCTCTCGAAAAACATTCCTCCTCAAATGTCTTAATTTTATATTCGTGAGCCGAAAAAATTCACAAATTTACAAATACCTCCCCGATAGACTCATTCGCGGGATACGTTTGCACAGAAGCACCTAGTCCACAAATATTTCACAATACGGTCACTCACTAGTGCATGTATCCAGATCAGGAAATAAGCATTCTCAGAAAGAGATGAAGACGCGTTGCGCGCCTGGCCTGCCTCGCGACCCGCCCGACCCCGAGTCACCGCGGGCCGCCCGCTCTGCAGGCTGCGCATATTCCTCCACGAATTTCGCCGCATCTCGTGAGACTGCACGCAAAGCCTTCCGATGAAACGACTGCGACCGAACAGTTGGGAACGATTGTCGTTGCAGATCTCATCCCACCATGGACTTGCTTTTTTTTTTAGCCTGTCACTCTTTTACTGACTTCCCTTCTTCTTTTCCTTTGGCCGCTAAACCTAAAAGAAAGGGAGAAGTGGCTAAGGAAACAGCTCGCTTAAAACTTGGAAGGCCGGTAAAGGGGTGGGAGCAGGCCATGTCGTCAAGGTTTCTCCTCAAAAAGAAATCACTCTCTCAAAGCAGAACGCTTGCTTTTCATTGGTATAAAAAATTTGTTCTCGAAGGTCCTTAAGGTCATAGAAAGGAACGTCGCAGGCTTCTCCTTCTACTTCATGGTCCACTTTTCATGGCCTTGCGTCAGGCGAGTCATTAATTAATGCCACCTGAATCGTGACTGCTTCAGCGCCATCTTGTTTCACTTAGAGGGGGAACCCCCTTCGTTCGAACGAGAGAAACAGATTGCTTGCCCACAGATGAGACAGACCCAACCAGCGTCGATGCCGGGCCGACATCGGCAGGCAACAGCGAAGTGGGCCCACGCCTCCCCACTCGCAACCATCATCGGGCCAACATGGGAAATTAAATGGAGGCGATTTCGCTCTGCTCAGAATCGCTCCACTTGCCTGAGTGATTTTTCCTAAATGGCAATCTTGTTGTCTCCTGAAGGTCAAATTTTCCTTCTGTTTTCATTTCATTCTACCGTCAGAAAAAAAAAGTTCGACGTAGAGGACTGTCAATTGGCGCGCACGTGTGTCAATTTACTGCCCACAGGGTCGACAAAATCCTGTGGAAATATTTTCCCAGCTGGAAATAACCACCGGCCACGAGAAGAACGCAACGCCAAACAGATGACACGACGGAAAATCTTTATTCCCGGATCTCCACCGCCTTCTTGCACACGTACGGAAACTCGAACCTCGGCGTGTAATCATCCCACGTGGACGTGAACGCGTACGCGCAGTTGTGACTCGAATCCTCGTCCGGGAAACCGGGGAACCACCGCTCGTAATCGGTCGAGGACCCATCCACCCACGACCACTCCCCGTCCCCCGTGTTCCTGATGTACCCGATCCAGTACTGCGACGTCGACGCCGGATGCCCATTCACCACCAACGCCATCACCCTCTTGTAATCCGTCCCGTTCTCGACCCCGAGCAGATTCCCCCCCGCATCCAAACACGCCTCCAACGCCAACTCGTAAGATTTCTTATTCTCGCTCACGATGAAGCAATCCCCTTCGAAGGCGACCCAGTCCGCCGGGCAATCCCCGTTCGGTTCTCTCAGCCTGCAGATGTATCCCCTCTCCGCCGTGCAGACGTCGTTGGCCCACTGCTCCACCCACATGATGGCGTAGTCGTCCCCGAAGTCAAAATCCCCGTTCCAATTCTCGTAGTCCAGCGGAGTCCCATCGGTCCACTCCCAATCGTCCGTCGGATTCCGGACGACCCCGATCCAGATCGGATTCCCCTTCGTGTTCTGCCCTGGAACCGAATCGTCGTCGAATCACGACAATTTAACTTTGATTAACTGCGTGGTAAAAATTAAAAGGCCGTCTTTAGCACTTCGCGGTGTATTTTCTCGAGAGTTTCAAAATATTACAATAGCCACACCATAAGAAACATTTCTCTAACTCTCAACTGATGTCGAAAGGTTGAATTTCCTTTCCGTTCCACTTCCCAGCACTCTAAAGGATGTCATCCAGGTGACATCCATCCGTTCCCTCGCTTCCGAATTCGTAATCTTGCCATGATGTTGTTCCATTTTCCGGTGCCACTTCTTATGCTCGTTATCTAGCTGCATCAAAGTTACGCCACAAATTTTTTTCTATTTGACGTCGTTGGAAAGCCGAATAAAAGTATCATACGGAGGCGATACTGCAATTTTAGCAAACTCTTGGGGACCAGTGCTCTGGAGTGATAAAGATAACCCATCCTTTCTGGCCGACCTTGCACGAGAGTAGAAATGTCAGCAGAAACGTCTCCATTGCAGACCGCACTGTGTGTGTGCGTGTGTGAGTGGGGGGGGGGGGTTGAACCCAAGTTTTTGAGAGCACTGAAAGCATGTTTACGAGTTGCGAACGCAACCTTGGAGTCAACGTCTACTCGTTCATCACAAAGCGGTATTAACGCAAGCGACGCCTGAGACCGCAATGACCCAAGGTTAAAAGTTTCCTTTAAAAAAAGGTCCATGTTAGAATGAAATATCCTTACCGACGAAAAAGTTCTCGTCGCGGCTGTGGATGCTGACGAGATGTCCACCTATGCCGACGCAAGCGGCTTCCGCGTCGGCATGTTCCAGATAATCCTCGGAGAACCAGTAGCAGTTGCCCTCGAACAGCTCCCAGTCTCCGCAATCCGCCGCCGGCTCCGACGTGTATTCGGCCATGAATCCCCTGAAGTTGGGGAAGTCGTCTGATACGAAAGTCACTTCCAGGATGTTCCCGGGCTCGAGAATGGGCGGCGGAGCGGTGAATCCGCAGTAGACGTCCGTTTCACCGGAGGTGGGGCTGAAGACCTCGACCCTGTCGAAGCTGCAGTCCGGCTGCGGCTCCAATTGGAAGTCGGTGAACTCGAGCTGGATCCGATTCCCGCTGGCCACGTTGATGGTGTACTTGCATTGCAGCCCGTCGCCGTAGTTGTCCGGATAATTCGGGGTCGAGAACGACCCGCTCGGCTCCACCAGCTCCTGGTCGCATGGCGACTGCGCCCCCGCCCCCTCTAGCACCCACCCCAAGCACGCGATCCGCCCCAACACCCACCCCAAGCGCGACATCCACCCCAGGCGTGACATCCTTCGATGCATCTCGACTGGCGCCTCGCTCGCTTCCTCCCCGCGTCGTTCCTTATCGTCCTCCCATTCCTGTGGGAAGTGCGGCAGCTGGGGAGGTGAGGCAACGACGTTTCGCCACGATTTTCTTTCCGGGACGAGGACGACCCTCCTCGATTAGAAGCAGGGGACACGCCGGACGCTGTTATCCGTATCGGGGTTCATATCTATTCAAATAGTGCCTCGTATCTGGTACGTGGCTAAGAATAGCGGAAACTTCCGGTAAATAAGTACAACAGCCAGTCGTCTAACTTCGTTAAAATAATTAATATGTTTTGTCGGTCACTCTCTCCAAACGTTGAAAGAGAGCATCGATGGGACGCTTCAGAGCGCTGAAATTCGGAGAGGACCGCACGAAAGTGATTTCCCTTTCTTTTATCGTTTTGTACAAGTTCACTTCGCCCAGGCCATTCGTCGCGCGCATGCGGCAATGAGAATGAGGAAACGTGGCCATCGACTCGAAAGCCAGCGTCGAGGGAATCATCTTCATAGAGACTCTATGAAGATGATTCCCTCAACAAATATGCTGCAGAACAGCGAAAAGCGGGATGGTCTCAGTGTCTAGGCCCGAATGCTGAAACCTCCTTCAGTCAACGATCTTTGAAGAATACACGGACTCCTATGGGGGAGAAAGAGCTCTTTATCTCCCTCAAATGAGGTTTGTGCATTCCGGCCTTCGACTCGAAGGAATGAGTCTAAAGAGGATTAATGTAGGAAAATTTTCTCCCGATGAGACTCGGAGTACTGCTCACATTTTTCTGAGCTCTTCGTCATGAAAATATTGTGTGGCGCTTACAGCCGGTTTCAACGTTTCGTGCTGGTTAGCCTCTATACGGTGGGGTAATAATTATTTAGAAGCAAATAAACATTATTTCACGAAGAAGAATATCTGAAACCTGATGGGATAAATTATCTCCACAAGAGCCGTAAGACTGAAGATCAAATGACCAAGGAAGGCAAAAGCCATGAAGAATGAATGAATTTGGTGAAATTTAAAAACGATTGACATTATCAATACATTTCCTGGAACTTGTTAAACTTCCAGCTAGTGATATTGTCACTTTGCTTTGATTTTCTCAAAGTGAGTCCAGAGAGATTAGGTAGGTGCGACGGACAGAATGCCAAAAACCTCCTTTTGTTAACAGTCTTTTAGGACTGCATGGACCCATTATGGGATAAAATAGCTCTTCAGCTTAAAGATCCCATCATCACCCCTAAATAATATTTCTGCATTTGGGCCTAAGATGGCAAGTCAATCTTAAGCTGTCACTATCTCTGTCTGAAATTCAGCTAAGGAGGGAAAAAAAAAGCAAGAGGAAACTTCCTTTTCAAATGCTTTAATGTAGTGACAAGAAAAATTAAATAGGGTTCTGTGTCTCAAAAAATAAAATGGGGACTTCCATTGTTCTCTCTGACTTGGATGAGGCACATAGAGACTACATGGGAATCATGCTTAAGAATTATATGGGAATGAACTTGGGTTGTGAAGACCCTCCCTGGAGAAGAAAAGGATGAAGGCTGCTGGAGTCACAATGTCTGATGACGACATATCACGCACCTCCTGGTCGTCAAACTTGAACCACCTGTGATGGAAATCACGAAATTTGCATTAAATATTATCCCATACGAAAGAAGGCTTCTCATGTTTCAGAGATTATGGTATACTGTACAGGAGTGCAAGATGGGATGATTATTTAAAATTGCTCAGGCACTTCTTGCATCAAACTATTTTTTACAATCATTTTCATCAGCAACTGAAGGCAACATGGTTTGGCAACATAGCTTCCTTCCATTATTTTACTCATTGTTCCTGGCAGAATGCATATGACAATTCACTATGGCAATGTAAGGATGAAGGTCACTTTATGTATACAAGCTTTTTTTTCTCACTTAATTTATTACAGGCAACTGAAAGAAAAGTGATGCAATGAAAAGCTTATGAAATCCAAAAATTTAAAGAGTAAGTGTTGCAAAATATTTTAACAGATTGCACTTGTAGCGCAAAAGATGAGAAATTCAACATTTTCCCATTTTCCTCCTTTTCTCCAACCTCTCTCTTTCTTCTCTGTTACCATCAATAGTAACAGGCCCCAGGAGGCAGAATTGAGAGTGAGTGCACTCTATTGAAACATACAACTAGGCACAAAACTGACTCAAAACTAAGACCCAACCCATGACTTAGAACATCATCCTCTGCACAACACACCTGTTACCGTCTCATTAACTATGGAATCAATGAAGCCTAGCTAAAGCATGCTGAAGCATACTGTGTACAGTTTTTTCATCCAGAATGAGAGAACTAGAAGCATATTGGTCAGTCATTTATTAACTCAGACAAAAGTTGACTAGAGATACTCCAACCTACAGTCTGGATAAATAGTAAGTTGTTCCTGTATTTACTGTTGCATAGTCCAAGGCATTCAGCAAAACAAAACTAAGGAGCTGAATACAAAAGGGACTCACTGTTTCTTGGCTGCTGACTTGCAGTATGCAGTATAGTGGCCCCCATCAAGTGTCCCAAAGTGATTTGTCACAGCATAGAGGTCGTAGGAGTCACTTTCCTTGGGCCTGATCAGGTGGTCCTGCATGTCAAGGTTTGAAAGGGGAAAAAACACAGGCTTCTGGATCTTGTGTCTCAGGGGCCCCACATAATAGAACCTGGGAAAAAAAAATTCAATTTTTACTGCATTCACCAGGTCACTAGAGCAGTTTCTTTACAATCTGTTTCTTACTTTGTATTGGATCTGCTACTGACATCTATGCTTCAGCCCCCTCCCCATGATTTAACAAAGAATAAAGCCCATCCAGTAAACTACAATATCCTTGGCTACATCAGGAAGATTTCTTCTTCTGCAACATGATATCCTAAAATTTTGTCATTAAAGTAAATTTGGAATTAGGTATGGAGTCTTATTTTACCCTTCTCCCCATGAAACTGAATGGTAGAGGGAATGATTGAATGATTATACCTCTTGAGGACTATGATGAGGATGGGGGGCAGCTTCCAGAGGTCAAACTTCTTCACAGCATCCCGAGGTTCCTTGCACTTGGGACACATCCATCCTGTGACAGGCTCCCCCTGCAGGTACAGCTGTAAGCAATCCTGCAACAGAGAATTTGCAATCAGTCTTTGTCATTCACTTTGGATTATGATGTTTCTCAAGGCTTTCTGAAGGCTATTGGATGCATACATTTGCTTGTGCAGGACTTTCAAAGTTGGACTAACATTTAGGAAGTGACTTACATCGATACTACATGATGATGAACGTTCTGGAATGGGGACAGGGAGATAAAAGAAGAGCTCGAACGTCTTGGATTCCGTTTGACACGCCCTACAGCGAACGGTGGACTTCTGCAATCCGGCAAACTGTTCCATGATCATAGAGTTTTCCGCACGAATTTCTGCTTCCCATGCCTTCTTGGCTGCAGTCTCATTGTCAATCCCATTGAATTCCTGCACCGTTGGCTTGCGACACTCCTTGGGCACCCTGTTCAGGTCCTCTCTCAACCATTCAAAAAGGTAAGTGAGGTACTCATGGGCGTCCTGGTGGTTCACCCCACGAAAGAGGTGGTAGTACTTGCCCGACACGTGCCTGAGGTCGTGAGAAGCCACGCAGCGATGGTGGCCGCTCCACAGCACCCGGAGCAAGGCCTCCATCTCTGCTGCTAGCTCTCCCTTTGACTTGGATGCATGTGGGTACAGCTTTTCCCTGATTTGTCAGAGAGGAGTGAGTGAGCAAAGAATCGTGACAATGTATAGGAAACTAAACATAGCATCAGAGAATAACTTCCAAGATTATAAGCTGATTTATTAAAGCATTGGGAGGAATATGTTCTGAAATCTGACATTTTATTTCTCATTCATGCCAATGCTCATAATCTCCCACAGGACTGAGATCATGATGAGTTATCTGGATACACCAGTTAAACTCTTCAGCAAGGTCCTCGGAATCGGCAAAGTATGATAATTCTCTTGGATAAAAAGTGACCAGTTGGTGGAAAACATGCAAAATGCATTCAATGCAAATGTGATGGGACCACTACAATCTATCAAGAACTGCATGATTGTAAATGGTCATTCTAGTTATTTCTTTGCAGCAACTGTCCAAGAGAAGCCATGCCTGCTCATAATGACTATTACCAAAAGAACTAACTGGATACTAACCACAACATCCCTGAAAATATTGCCTTAGCAAGAGACTTGTGTGAGAACTTGTGCAACACAATATAATTGGGAAAGGCGAATAGGTGAAGTACCTTGGGTAGACCTGCTGGAAATAGGAAGCAAATAGGGGTGTGTTGCTCATGCACTGGACAATGGCATTCATGTAACACGTGTTTCCCAGGTTCTTGAGACCCGTCAGTCCAGGAAGCTAGGAAGAAAAACAACCGTTGCCATTGCTCATTCCTCGTCACATCACCTGTGGTACGTGTAGAAAAAATCTCATCTGGTAATCTCTTGGGTGCTATACCTAGAGAATGGCATATTAGATTGACATATTTGCTAATGTGGCTGATTCACATGCATTCACTTGCTCTACTTGAAAAAGATGTAAAAAATCTGATGCTCATTGATTTTACTGTAAAGTTTTCTCTGAAACATTGCAATCCTCTACTACTTGGTGCATGAAGGGGAGAGAAAAGCAATATCATCCAAAATGATGTTAACCTGTACAGCCATTCAATAATCATTTCCAATTCATGGTTAAGGCAAATGATCTAATGTTGGCATTTACATTGGATATTATGTAAAATTCAACACTTATTTAGGCAAAACATAACATGAGAAAATTTTCAAACAGGATAAGCAGTTTTGCTGAAATTGGGGCAGTGCTACCAGTACCAAAGTAGTACCAAAGCAGTACCAAAACACAAAAGTTCTGTTTCAATTCCTTGCCATTCCCTGGCTCATCAACAATCAGGCAACAACGTGAGGAAAGGAATGAAAAGATGACTCACACGTTGTCCATGGATGGGATCAAAGTTGCGATGTCGAGATGAACTGGGAGAGTGGGACCACTGGGACACGGTTGGCTTTAACCTCCGGTCCACATTCGGGGTGGCGTCTGGTCTTCCTCTGACAAAGGCTTGTCTCCCCTCAATAGGAAGCGAATCCTCTAGCTGTTCACAGCCAAAGTAAGACCTTGTCTCACATGCTCACAATATCCAATAATCATAAGCATAAGATACTTGCATATCAGAGATATACAGGAGTGCAAGATGGGATGATTATTTAAAATTGCTCAGGCACTTCTTGCATCAAACTATTTTTTACAATCATTTTCATCAGCAACTGAAGGCAACATGGTTTGGCAACATAGCTTCCTTCCATTAATTTTACTCATTGTTCCTGGCAGAATGCATATGACAATTCACTATGGCAATGTAAGGATGAAGGTCACTTTATGTATACAAGCTTTTTGTTCTCACTTAATTTATTACAGGCAACTGAAAGAAAAGTGATGCAATGAAAAGCTTATGAAATCCAAAAATTTAAAGAGTAAGTGTTGCAAAATATTTTAACAGATTGCACTTGTAGCACAAAAGATGAGAAATTCAACATTTTCCCATTTTCCTCCTTTTCTCCACCTCTCTCTTTCTTCTCTGTTACCATCAATAGTAACAGGCCTCAGGAGGCAGAATTGAGAGTGAGTGCACTCTATTGAAACATACAACTAGGCACAAAACTGACTCAAAACTAAGACCCAACCCATGCCTTAGAACATCATCCTCTGCACAACACACCTGTTACCAAGAGTAATTGATACCTTAGTTACTTCGGATCGATTTCGTACGACTTCGTATGACACATGTCAAAAAAGTAGGTCTTACTCTCTTGATCTTCGTATAACCAGTCAGTAAATAATTGAGTCTGTTTTCATGACTAGAGATACTCCAACCTACAGTCTGGATAAATAGTAAGTTGTTCCTGTATTTACTGTTGCATAGTCCAAGGCATTCAGCAAAACAAAACTAAGGAGCTGAATACAAAAGGGACTCACTGTTTCTTGGCTGCTGACTTGCAGTACGCAGTATAGTGGCCCCCATCAAGTGTCCCAAAGTGATTTGTCACAGCATAGAGGTTGTAGGAGTCACTTTCCTTGGGCCTGATCAGGTGGTCCTGCATGTCAAGGTTTGAAAGGGGAAAAAACACAGGCTTCTGGATCTTGTGTCTCAGGGGCCCCACATAATAGAACCTGGGAAAAAAAAATTCAATTTTTACTGCATTCACCAGGTCACTAGAGCAGTTTCTTTACAATCTGTTTCTTACTTTGTATTGCAACTGCTACTGACATCTATGCTTCAGCCCCCTCCCCATGATTTAACAAAAAATAAAGCCCATCCAGTAAACTAAAATATCCTTGGCTACATCAGGAAGACTTCTTCTTCTGCAACATGATATCCTAAAATTTTGTCATTAAAGTAAATTTGGAATTAGGTATGGAGTCTTATTTTACCCTTCTCCCCATGAAACTGAATGGTAGAGGGAATGATTGAATGATTATACCTCTTGAGGACTATGATGAGGATGGGGGGCAGCTTCCAGAGGAGTTTGAAGAAGTGTCGTAGGGCTCCAAGGAACGTGAACCCTGTGTAGGTAGGACACTGTCCGAGGGGGACGTCCATGTCGACATTCGTTAGGACGTTGTCTCTTAAACGTTAGTCAGAAACAGTAACACTTTGGATTATGATGTTTCTCAAGGCTTTCTGAAGGCTATTGGATGCATACATTTGCTTGTGCAGGACTTTCAAAGTTGGACTAACATTTAGGAAGTGACTTACATCGATACTACATGATGATGAACGTTCTGGAATGGGGACAGGGAGATAAAAGAAGAGCTCGAATGTCTTGGATTCCGTTTGACACGCCCTACAGCGAACGGTGGACTTCTGCAATCCGGCAAACTGTTCCATGATCATAGAGTTTTCCGCACGAATTTCTGCTTCCCATGCCTTCTTGGCTGCTCAGAGTAACAGTTAGGGTAACTTAAGGACGTGGCAACCGAACGCTGTGAGGAACCCGTGGGACAAGTCCAGGAGAGAGTTGGTAAGTTTTTCCATTCACTCCATGAGTACCCGCAGGACCACCAAGTCCCCACGAAAGAGGTGGTAGTACTTGCCCGACACGTGCCTGAGGTCGTGAGAAGCCACACAGCGATGGTGGCCGCTCCACAGCACCCGGAGCAAGGCCTCCATCTCTGCTGCTAGCTCTCCCTTTGACTTGGATGCATGTGGGTACAGCTTTTCCCTGATTTGTCAGAGAGGAGTGAGTGAGCAAAGAATCGTGACAATGTATAGGAAACTAAACATAGCATCAGAGAATAACTTCCAAGATTATAAGCTGATTTATTAAAGCATTGGGGGGAATATGTTCTGAAATCTGACATTATTTTATTTCTCATTCATGCCAATGCTCATAATCTCCCATAGGACTGAGATCATGATGAGTTATCTGGATACATCAGTTAAACTCTTCAGCAAGGTACTCAGAATTGGCAAAGTATGATAATTTTCTTGGATAAAAAGTGACCAGTTGGTGGAAAACGTGCAAAATGCATTCAATGCAAATGCAATGGGACCACTCCAATCTATCAAGAACTGCATGATTGTAAATGGTCATTCTAGTTATTTCTTCGCAGCAACTGTCCAAGAGAACCCATGCCTGCTCATAATGACTATTACCAAAAGAACTAACTGGACACTAACCACAACATCCCTGAAAATATTGCCTTAGCAAGAGACTTGTGTGAGAACTTGTGCAACAAAATATAATTGGGAAAGGTGAATAGGTGAAGTACCTTGGGTAGACCTGCTGGAAATAGGAAGCAAATAGGGGTGTGTTGCTCATGCACTGGACAATGGCATTCATGTAACATGTGTTTCCCAGGTTCTTGAGACCCGTCAGTCCAGGAAGCTAGGAAGAAAAACAACCGTTGCCATTGCTCATTCCTCGTCATATCACCTGTGGTACATGTAGAAAAAATCTGACATATTTGCTCATGTGGCTGATTCACATGCATTCACTTGCTCTACTTGAAAAAGATGTAAAAAAATCTGATGCTCATTGATTTTACTGTAAAGTTTTCTCTGAAACATTGCAATCGTTTACTACTTGGTGCAAGAAGGGGAGAGAAAAGCAATATCATTCAAAATGATGTTAACCTGAACAGTCATTCAATAATCATTTCCAATTCATGGTTAAGGCAAATGATCTAATGTTGGCATTTACATTGGATATTATGTAAAATTCCACACTTATTTAGGCAAAACATAATATGAGAAAATTTTCAAACAGGATAAGCAGTTTTGCTGAAATTGGGGCAGTGCTACCAGTACCAAAGTAGTACCAAAGCAGTACCAAAACACAAAGCATCAAAGTTCTGTTTCAATTCCTTGCCATTCCCTGGCTCATCAACAATCGGGCAACAACGTGAGAAAGGGAATGAAAAGATGACTCACACGTTGTCCATGGATGGGATCAAAGTTGCGATGTCGAGATGAACTGGGAGAGTGGGACCACTGAGACACAGTTGGCTTTAACCTCCGGTCCACATTCGGGGTGGTGTCTGGTCTTCCTCCGACAAAGGCTTGTCTCCCCTCAATAGGAAGCGAATCCTCTAGCTGTTCACAGCCAAAGTAAGACCTTGTCTCACATGCTCACAATATCCAATAATCATAAGCATAAGATACTTGCATATCAGAGATATTGAGATGAGAAGATGGAAACCCACCCTGAAGCTTATGCATACCTACTATCATACTCTGTCCCGAAAGCATAACATTATTCCACAGGCAGTGATCTTTCCATGATTGTGTTTTGCAAGATATAAATATCCATCTTCCACATTGGAGCACTCACCACAAATTGCTTCCTTTCTAAAGTATCAAAGAATACAATCCAACATGGGAAG